AAACATATCTTTTAAACTAAAAAATTAGGGGGTCGTCTTATACGCCCAGTCGCCTTATACGCCGGAAAATACGGTATGTAAAACTTCAGTACTTTCTTAAAAGCATCTGCTTGCAAAGAAACATGTCTGAATTGAATAATTTTTGATATTCCATTCTTTAGATATCCTTACATTTTAACTTTACAACTATAATGAGGAAACATCATATCTTTTAAACTAAAAAATTAGGGGGTCGTCTTATACGCCCAGTCGCCTTATACGCCGGAAAATACGGTATGTAAAACTTCAGTACTTTCTTAAAAGCATCTGCTTGCAAAGAAACATGTCTGAATTGAATAATTTTTGATATTCCATTCTTTAGATATCCTTACATTTTAACTTTACAACTATAATGAGGAAACATTGTCACTGACTAGTTCACAACATCACCAACTTCTCCACCTCCAATTAATTCAGAACCCATCTGGTATGTGACAGGAATAAGTTAAAGTAATGAATGTACCATTTCCTGCATTCCCAACAGTGATTTTTATCAGCTACTCTGCTTTATCACTTAACTTCATTAGATCCTTCTAATCTTCTCTACAGCTTTATCCAGTTTTGTCTGTTACTAATTCTGTCACGTGCAAATTTTGCCATTGTAAAATGTGCTAAAAATGGACTAAACACCAACCAGTCCTAGACCAGAACCACGGAGCACCTAATCATTAACTTTTTTGCCATTTTTAAAACAAACCACTATTCCTATTCTGTTTTCTGTCCCTATTTTTTGGCACACCTGAAGAACTTTTAATAGACTAGACCAGTGTTCACCAACCAGTAGATCTTGGAGACTCCCACAAGTGATCCTGACTGGTTTGGCCAGGAAGCTATCACGCTCTGGTACATCAGTTGCCCCTCCACCAACTGTCATACTGCTCCTGCCCTCTGCCTTGGAGCTGCCCCCCTGGAAGCCTCCTGCTTGCTGTGCAGGGGGCAGGGAAAAGAGGCAAGGCTCTGATGTCAGAGTGTCACCTCTGCTCCCACTTCTGTACCCTATCTCCACACAGAGAGAAGGAGATGGAGGGAGCTTGGCAATGCAAATCTGTCTCACACACTGGCTGTGTCTGTCATTCTCACAAACACATACTGTCCCTTCACACTCATCTCCTGACCCAAAACATGTACGTGGGGGGTGGTTGTTACTCCTTTTACTGCTTGCAAAGTGGATTATTTTTGGTTTTGGACTGGTCTGTGCATTTTATAATTTTCACTTCACTCTTATGCTTAAATTTAATTCTTTGAGCAGCGAGTTCTAAAATGCCTAACCTGTCCTGGATGGAGTAACTATCCCAGCTACTCCTGGAAGTGGCTGACACATCCCTGCAGCCCTTGAGAAAGGAAGAGCAGGGGATCTCCACATGCTGTCCTTGCCTCCATTGATCAAGAATGGGGAACCGTGGCTAGTAGAAGCTGTGGGCTCAGTGTCCGTAGAGAAGGGTCAGCACACGGCGCATGGAGCCATTGCTGTACATGCCATTTGTTTTCAGGAGTGGTGCAGGGCCAGGGAAGGAGTAAGCCTGCTTTAACCCCATTGCTCCACCACCTGGAAGCCGTCTCAGTTAAACGGTGCCCAGCCAAAGCCTGTTCCCTGAACCCATCCCAACCCTGAATCTCCTCCTACACCCAGCCTCCTGCCTCAGACGTGAGTCCCTCTGCACCCAAACTCCTTTGCAGAGCTTGTACCCGGAAACCCCTCCTGGACTCCAATTCCCCACCTTGGGCTAAGCCAGGAGCTCCCCCCACACTCCAAACTCCTTGGCCTAAGACCAGAGCCTGCAACCCAATCCTCTTCCCCAGCCTGGTGAAAGTGAGTGAGGATGGGGGGAGGAAGGAAGATGGAGTGAGCAAGGTGAGGCCTCAAAGAAGAAGTGGTGGGATGTCAAAGAAGGGGCAGGAAGAACATGGGGCCAGGGTACTTGGGTTTGAGGTACATCTTATATTGCACTTCACTTGAAAAAGTGATCCTGTGATTAAAAAGGTTGGAGACCACTGGACTAGACTGAAGATTATAGCTGAAACATCAGAGGGGAAAAAACCTGTCTATTCTTTCATTTATGTATAGCCATCTTCACTATTTGCCATGTTTGGCCAATTTTCTGGAGTCTTTTCACAGTAAAACGAGCAAAAAGCATTTGAAAAATAAGAAATTGATTATAAACCCAAATAAACCTAGAACAAATAGCTTATGAAACTACTTTTCTCATTCATTTCTTGAAATTCACTAGATTTTAAAATTGGCTAGATCCCTTTGGATAATAAGGCTTATATAAAATGTGTATTGCAGTGGTAAGTTAATTAAACAGCATAGGCGCATAGCAGCTACTTGCCAAAGTTACACAATGGCCTTGAAGTTCTAATTTAGAATCTTTCAAGGTATTTGCCACTTAAAGTGGATTAGCATATCTTCTATGGGGCAGAGTTAGTCTCTTAAGTGGGTTCAAATGTTTAAATTAGTCAAAATTTATAACTACTAAAACTTTGCTTCATATCAGGAAATAAAAATGTTTGCATTATAGCTGTTTAATATATTGAACGAATAAAACGAGTACATTCAACTGAACTACGGAGCTGTCATTAGGATGCTGTAAGAGAAAAATGGAATAATATGAATCTAATAAGCATGCGCTTTCAAAATGAAAAAATCCATAAGAAACTTACCATCCGATTCTGAAGCTGCTCGAATGATCAAGTAACTGCTGGGTAATGGCTGAGTTATAGAACCAACTGCTTCGCCTTTAGGACCCTAGAAATATATAAAACAGATATAACAGACATTATTTTGGTGTTGTCACAAGCTGATCACAATTCAGGAATATCTACCCTCATAGTAACAACTAATGAAGATACAAGTCCTGTAAATGAGTTGCTCTCTTTCACTGGATTCCCTCAACAGACACATCTCTTAAAGTGGGGTTAAGCTGGGAACCACATTTCAAAGATTACGATCTTCAGTTTATTCTAGTTCATTTTCTAAAATTAGTCAGCTCATGGCTTTAATTTACCTTGTACCCTTGCCTCTTCCCCGAAGTCAGATTACAAAACAGGTCAGAAGGGACTATTATGATCATCTAGTCTGACCCCCTGCACAGTGCAGGCCACAGAATCTCACCCACCCCTCCTAGAATAATCCTCTCACCTATATCTCAGATATTGAAGCCTTCAAATACTTTGAAGACCCCAAGATGCAGAGAATCCTCTAGCTGTGATCTGTACCCCATGCTACAGAGGAAGGCGAAAAACCTCCAGGGCTTCTGCCAATCTACCCTGGAGGAAAATTCCTTCCCGACCCCAAATATGGCGATCAGCTAAACCCTGAGCATGTGGGCAAGACTCATCAGCCAGACACCCAGAAAGTTCTCTATAGTAACTCCTATCATCCCTCCATTGACCTATTTCCCACTGATAATGAATGGTCAATTAGTTACCAAGATCATGTTACACCTCGTTCCAGTTAACTCGAACTAAGGACTTAGTTCGAGTTAACGTTTGACTGCCGCGTGTAGCCGCGGGCAGTTAGTTCGGACTAGAGGGATTTAAAAATGGCGCCCGGACGGGAAGATGCAAATAAAGCCCGGGATATTTAAATCCTGGGCTTCATTTGCAACTTCGATTGCCTGCATTAGCCTCCCTAGGTTGAACTAGGGGGCTAGTATAGACATACCCTCAGGTACTTCTATGACCCTCACTGCTATCAATTCCAAGTGCCATCAAATCAGGAGTGTGTGCTACTGTCTCCAAACAGGAAATGATGGCAAAAGATGCAAAGCTCCAGATACAGTATCTCATTAAACTCTAAAGAAATGTTGTAAACAGCTGCAGCTTTTAACCAGTGTTATTCCTAGAGACATTTCTATTTCTGTCAAGTGTGCTTAGAGGATAAAGCATTGAAAATGCCACTCAAGAGCCCACTATAAAAAAAGTTAAGTTAGAGGAGTTAAGAAAATTGATACGTAAAGGTATTTGTATTAGTCAAATTAGCCTAATTGGTAAGACCCATTTGGGTCTTGGGTTGCAGAATTCTACCCATGAATCTAATGAGAAACTGCTAGTTTAGAAGATGAAATTAAAAAAAAAAGTTTGAGCAATAGCAAGTAAAGAGGACATTACTGACCTACAACAGGTTCTTAAAGATGTATGGTTCCTACCTGTATTCCACTGTGGATTATGCATGCACCCAGAGCTGGAGAATTTAAACCTAGTTCAGATAGTCCATGCATGCGTCCCAATGCATTTTATGCCTCCACCCAAGGGGATAAAGGATGAATTGGATCAACTCTCTCCAGTTCTCTCTCTACTGCAAATCACAGAAAATCCAAGGCAGTTGGGAAAGAGGGAGGGTAATGAAATATAGACAGCGACTACACAGCTCAAGGAATCTCCATTACAGGCCAGTAACTTCCTCTTCTTCTTTGAGTAATACATAATACCAGGGAGTAAGGTGTGAGGATGTAGCCAGCAGAGCTGAGTGGAAAACTGCAGTCCCAGAAGAGGCATCAGGTGAGGAGTCCTGCACCAGGGCATAATGTCTAGCAAATGAGTGAAGAGAGCCTCCAGTTTGCCACTTTACAGATATCAAGGAAGAAGGGCACCTTATGGAATGGAGCCACGTTTGTTACTTGTGCTCCCGTGGAACAAGTTTTCACCTCCTTGAGGGTGGGGAGGGGAGAAGGTTCAATAGCTGACAGTGCAGAATGCAGCCAGAGATCCATTTGGAGAGTGTCCAGGAGAAAATGGCATGTCCCCTTGATTCTTTCTACTATGGTGACATTTTTCCTGGTTGTGTTTCTTGCAGGTACAAGGCCAAGACTTGCTGAAAAAAAGTGGAGTCTTTCCTCCTTGAAAATGTGTAGTTTTTGGAAAGGACACTGGAACATGAACCAATCAGGTAAGGTTCTGAGGTGAATTTGGGGTGTAGGTAGATGCAAAGAAACCTCACCCTTTTTCAATATAGTGGAAAGAGAATCTACCATCATCATAAGCTCCTCAATCCTTCTAGGAAAGGTAATGGCCATGAGAAAAGCAACCGTACCGAAAAGAAAATGGAGCAAAAAGCTGAAGGGTCAAAGGGGATTTCTGGAGTACTGAAAGAACAAGGTTCATGTCCCAGTGGAGAATAGGTTTCTGATTAAGCCATTCCAAAATCTGTTCATCTCCTGAGAAATAAAGACAAAGCAATCGGAGAAGGTGGATGTTATGCACAGATTGACACCAAATCAACTCGTAAGGAGCATGATGGGCAGGCCTGTCGTCTTCAGCGAGGATACAGTCCAAGATAAAAGAAACATTTGCAATTTCTAGGAGAATGCTCCTTTGATGAGCTCAAAAAGCAAAGTGCCTCCATTTAGCTAGTACTATCTAATCTAGTCTTTCCAACTATTAAAAAGCCTGTATGACAAAGTTGGGTTCGGTTCACTCCACAACCAAATATTCTGTGGATGTTGCCTATCCAAATAGCAAGCCCTGAAGTGGAGCAGATACAGACTAGGTACTTGATCTTGCTGTTCTCCTGGATCAGGAGCTCAGGAAACATTGGAAGGATGACTGGTATTCAGCATGACCTGCATAGGAGATTGGAAAACTGAAACGGCTGAGTCAGTAAAGGGTAATGATGAGAATGACACCAGCCAATCCTGGCAGATTTTGCATAGAACTCATTCATAGTAGGAGCAGTAGCTGAGGGAAGGCATAATTCGTCTGACCAAGAAAGAAGTACAGAATTGCCCTGGGAGTAGCAACCTTTGGATCTTTTGATTAACACATTTGTTGTTTGTTTGAGAAGCAAACAGTTCTCAGGTTGGTTATAACATTGTAAGGACAAGATGACCACAGCTGAATGGAAGGAAGGCTTTGAATGTCTTCCAGACTTCTCACAACTCCTGGGGTATGTCTACACTAGCTCGGTAGGATCTAATTCAATCTACCTATTCCGTGCCGTGTGTAGCCGTGGGCACGGAGTTCGGACTAAGGGGGATTTAAAAATGGCGGCGCCCAGGAAGATGCAAATGAAGCCCGGGATATTTAAATCCCGGGCTTCATTTGCAACTCCGGTTGCCCTCATTTGCCTACCTAGGTCGAACTACTGAGCTAGTGTAGACATACCCCAGGATATTGATGTGCATCCTGGTCTGTCAAGATATCCAAGTACTTTGTGCTATGTAGTTATTCATGTGGGCTCCCTAATTAAACAGGGACTCACCTGTAATAATGATCATGTCTGGAATGGAAGAAGGAAAGGGAATGCCTACATATACCTGATAAAGGTTGTCTGCATTAGTTCATGGTCTAGAACCTGTCCTTGGACAAGTATGCTCTTGCAATAATACAATTCAAGGTTGCCTCAATGAATTCCAAAGATTGTGTAGGGGTTAAACAGAGGTTTTTTTTTTTTTTTTTTTTGCATTTATGCTAACTCCCAGTGGGAGGAAATGCAGCATCATAGGGTGAGCCCAAGTGCACGTGTGACCTAACAGATGCTACTCTGGCTCTGGGTGCCTGGTGCACATGTGTATACTACAGTGGAATACAATAAGGACCATCACTCAAAGATTATAGTTGTTTTTAGAAGCAAACACCTGGAACAGCTATAACACCCTCCCAAATACACACAAGGTTAAAGCAGCAATGTACACAGGCTAGTGCTGGTCTTAACCACAGCCAAGAATTTCTGAATTCCAACTTCAAAAGATTAAAAACAAGAACTGTCCCCCAAAGGAAAGTTCTCAGACTTGAGACAAAAGAGATTGGTGGGTAAATGTAGAGTAAATTTTTCTTCTTCCCAAATATAAGATAGGGACTTGAAAGTCAGACTATGGCAGAAGCCACACAGTTTTTCACATAGGAAAAACTACTAACCCTCCAAGCACAGATAACAGACTCAGGATATTACGAGCAATATGAGTAAGTGATCTAGGAAGTGCCTGACTATGGAGAACAATATTGAGGTACTGTGTAAAATCATAAGTTGGCCAGGCTACAGACAGCAGTCTGAGGCCAGAAATCTTTCAGTGAAACGTTACCTGGAATCCAATTTAGGGGTATACTAGATACATTAATTATTCTGTATCAAACTACAGTACTATAATTTAAGGATGAAGACCATTTATTGGTGTGAAAAAAGGGTGATATGCTGAGATACTCGAAGTACAATGAGTAAAAGCTGAATGACCAATTTGCAGTCAACAACTGAACAAATGAACCGCTTTGATAATGCAGTAACTGCTTGAAAATACATTAATGTATCTAATGTATACTGTAAATTTCAATATGGATTGGTTTTCTGAAAGCATTAGACACTACTTTAAAAAACGTACAGCTTGATTGCAAATAGTTTTTGAAAAGTCTTTGATATTCACTATTTGAGCTATGTTGAAGTTACAGAGTATATAGTTTCTGTTCCCCAGTTGGAGGATGATACAAGTACTTCACACATAAATTTCATCATGGGTAAATTTGAAATTCTGTTTCTGTACACGAACATATGACTCTACATTCCTGTCAGTAAAACTAAATGTCATGAATGCTGGTGGAAAGTGAGTACAAAAGGAATGCGAACAATAAGGGTGTGGATGAAGACTATTTAAAAACACAATTTATTAATGTAAATCTATTTGCAGTCTTTTTTCAGCTTCTCTGATTGAGACTCAGAAATGCAATTGTATAGTGGCATACTATTTAAAATAGTATTTGAAGGATGATCAAGCAACTAGTGTGTTGAAGTCTCATGCTGGCATAAAGACAGTAGAGTGGGTATTATTAGTTATACAATGGAAACTGAAAGACTATAACATCAAAGAAGCATGATAAGTGATTGTGTGTGCCTTTCTGTTGTAATCTGGAGCTAGTCTGCCAGATGGAGACACCAGATGCTATGAAAAGTATGCTCACAGAAAAGCAGGACTCTTGCAGCACCTATCCATCTTGTATACATAGTTATGAGTGGTGGTCTCTCTCCAACTTGGGTGTCAACAAGTCTTGCTCTTTGTTAGAAGTAAGTTTGTTCTCTTGTGAACCTAATGGAGGAAGTTTATTAGAGAGCAAAGTTACTTGCTGCTATCCTGATGAAAGTTTGCCTGCCTCTAGATCTAGTTTGATTAGCAGACAGGTGTTACTGATTAGGGAACAGAATAAAGAAGACCACTTCAAACTTTAATATGGACTTGAACTAAAACTAATAATTCTCTACAGCACAAGAACGAACAAATTCCATTTCAGCTCTCAGCACATTGAAAATGGACATTACCACCTCATTCAGGTTTCAAATTTGATCTACCTTAATAAAAGTTAAAATCTTGTATGGAATGTCCTCTAATTTCTAAATTATTTAGGAAACAAATAAATCCACCACTCTCTGTCAAGCAATTAGGAAATTAGTCTGGATTTATGCAGATCTCCGCCCAAGACTGATTAATCATCTTTTGCAGAGTTAGGTCCCACAGTCAAATAGCTGTTGACAACCTTTCTGATGGAAGTGCACATAAAAAGGTGACTTAAAAGTGTACACTAACCACAAAATCCACATAGCTATGTAAGGGAATGGGGAAATCAATGTGCAGCAAATAAACCATGAGAAATTGGGAGGGTAAAAAACTCTTCCTAAGTGGTTTTAGACTATAGGAAATCTACAACTAGGTTTTTATAAATCTTAATATTTAGAGTGTTTCATAGTAAGAAAAGATAAGATTGCAAACAGACAACAGTTGATTATCATTTTCCTGGTCTTAAGAAAGTTAGCCCTTCTCCATCACCAGTGAGAGACGTGACATGGAACAGCTGTGCGTCAGATGTAGAATGTGAAGTATAATGAACTCCTTGTCCATTACTAGGTTGTTAGGAGATAAAATAATCTAGTAAAACCCTGTTTATCTGGTCTAACTAGGACCAGGGCTATGTCAGATTAACACAATTCTGGATAAGCTGGAGAATGGGAAATTTTAACTTAAGGTAGGTCAAATTGTAAGCCTGGAAGAGATAATATTGTCCGTTTTCAATGTGCTGAGAGCTGGAATGGCATTTGTTCATTCTTGTGCAGTAGAGAATTATTGAAGTTTCAAGTCATCATCTTTGTCCTGTTCCCTAATCAGTACCACCACCATCTCCAATGGCCAATAGATATCATCCACTTCTGACCCTGAAGTCCGGATCATTTGATAAATTCAGAGCGCTGGGTCTTCATCATTACTGTACACAAAATGTGCAGAAACTCCTGTCTCTCCCTGGAGCCCTGCCAGAAAGGGTGCCTGTTGACCCACTAGGAGGGTTTACAGACTGGTACTGTCCCTAAGGCAGCATTTCCCAAACTATGGGCCGTGGCCCGGTACCGGCCAGGGGAGATCGCGTGGAGGGGACCGGGGCGGGAGGGGAACTGGCTGGCAGAAGCAGGGCTGGCTGGGGGGGGTGTGAGCAGAGGGGCTGGGTCAGGGGAGGGGGGAAAAGCTGCTCCCGGGGGCAGCAGGGCTTGCCAGGAGAGAATCAGCTGACGGGGGGGAAGAATCGGCCAGCGGTGAGCAGGACAGTTCAGGGCGCACGCAGATCCTAAATAAAAACTGAAAAAACGTGCCTTTTAAATATCCCCACTGCTGACAGTGAGGTTTAAAGGCACTACAACGTGTCAGAATGGAGAGAACCTGGTGCATTCAGCATCCGGAATGAGAATATGGATAAAAAATTACAAAGATAGTGTCCGCTTTCTGAAAATAAATGAGCCCCTTTTCAATACACGATGTGGTGGTGCAGGGTTTTATTGGATTACAGTCCATTTTTCCAATCCATATTCCCTTAACTTGCTGGTAAGAATATTGTGGGTGGCTGTATCAAAAGCTTTGCTAAAGCTGGCTCTGGGGGCTTTGGGAGGACCCAAAACACTGTATTTGCATAGCTGTAATTTGCTTAATGAATATGCAAATATGCAAATGAATGTTACCAGTCCTCCGAAAGCTCGTGAATGGATTTACTGGTCCCCGTGTCAAAAAGTTTGGGAACCCCTGCCCTAAGGTAAATGAAGTTTGAGATCACTGCACTATATGCCATTCAGAAAGATTATAGCATCCTATTTATTGCTAAAGGGCTCCCAAACATTCTTCTACTAATGTAACCAAAAAGTGATCTAGACCGTATCAAACATGGAATTCACAGTTACTTTTTGGATGAAAAGTACAGCAGTAGAAACTACAGAATTAAATTTTTAAAAATAGTTAGAAAGAGAACACTGGTAACTGTAGAGAAAAGCACAGTGCCTTTTATGTGTAAGGCTGCTTCTATTCAATGCTGGAAACAGACACATTCTTCAATGTCTTCTTTAAGAATGGTTGTTCACTTACCTTAACAGCCCAGATGGACTGTTCCAAGGGATGGAAAAGTTTGAAACAAAAGCCATCTTTTTTGGAAGGCCGCTCAATGAGTTCACAAGCATTCAGGAGCACTGTTCCAACCCACTGGCCATTTTGGGGGTTTTTGTAAATGAGTAATACTCCTGGTTTTAGCACACACCACAGTTTGGTCCAGCTTTTCAATGTACCACGAATCTACAGAATATTAATGATTGATTTTAGTTCCTCACAATTAAAA